CACACACACACACACACACACACACACACAAACGTGTGAGGCGGTGCATATTTCTGCGTTCTTGCGCTAGATCCATTCGATTTTGCTCGTCGTATCAACGGAAGTACCATGAGGTCTGCCGCGAGATCGGCCGCTGGCCAGTGCATTACTCATCCTATCGATGAGAACTCTCTCTCCCTCTCTCTCTCACTTTCACGCGCACTCACACACACACACACACTCACATACATGTAGCAGTGAATGCATCTTCCCTCGTTCTAGCCTTAGATTCATTCACTTTATTTTATTTATTTGCTTATTTATTTAGTTATTCGTTTGTTTATTTTTCTTGCTCGTTTTGTCGCAGATAGCGTTGGGGAGTGAGCCGCGAGATTGAAGACTTACCTGTTCTTTATCTCGCTCCCCCGTCGTCGTCGTTGCCACCGTCAGTCCATCGGAGTCGGGGCTGTCGACCTCGTCGTGTCACATCGTCATCGTCGTCGTCGCAATCCAGTGTTTTTCTCCTCTTCTCTCCTTCTTCTCCTTCTTCTTCTCCTTCTCCTTCCTCCTTCTCTCTCCTTCTCATTCTTCTTCTCTCTCCTTCTCATTCTTCTTCTTTCTCTTTCTCATTCTTCTTCTTTCTCTAAATGATAAGGTTCAACGAACTTTTCACGGCACCCCCAGCGGCAAACCGCCGAGATCACCGCGATCCAAACAGTGCAAACACTTTCACCGGACCGTTCAATAGGTAGGAGTGACCGAGGTGTGTGCGAAGGGCAGGGACGTAATCAGCGCGGGCTGATAACTCGCGCTTACTAGGCATTTCCTCATTCAAGATGGATAATTACAAAAGTCTACCCCGTCACGATGAACCCGTGACGTAGGAGCGACGGCGATGTGTACCCGGGCCTTTCGACCCAGGCAAGCGACTCGTTGGGTTCATTAGTGTAGAACGCGTGTGCCCATGTAAGAGCCCTTCCTCTCTCTTTCTCTCCCTTCTCTTCTTCTTCTTCTCCTTCTTCTTCTTCTTCTCCTTCTTCTTCTTCTTCTTCTTCTTCTCCTTCTTCTTCTTCTTCCTCCTCGCATGCCTCCTTCACTCGCGTGCCGGTATCTGTCCTGCGCTCCCCTCTTCCGTGCGGCCACCTTCTTCCCGCTCGTCTTACCTCTACTCCTCCAAGTTCTTTCCCCCCCCCCCGTGCAGCCTCCTTCGTCCGCGTGGCTTCTTCTTTCTTGCTTCGCTCCTCCTCTGCTTCCCGCTTCTCGTCGTGCTCCCCTTCTGCCTTCGCACACTTTTCTTCCCCGCACGCACTCTCGTCCGGCTTGCGCTATCCCGTGAGGTATTCTCCCGATTGCTCCTCCTCCTACTTGTAATGGCGACTTCAGTTCTTTCGCGCCCCTCGCGGTCACCCGGTTCCAGCGCGATCAAGATCGCAAGGGCTCCTGCTGCAGAACCCCTTGACTCACTTTTCATTGAATCTGTCCGCTTTCGGAGACAGATTCAGTAATGTGAATATATGAAAAACCACCTAGGGGGCGGATAAACGAGAAGAAAAATAAAGAATATAAAACAGAATAAAAATGAATCTAACAAAATAACGAAATAAATAAATAAAAGAAACCGAATCTAACCAAATAACGAATAAGAGAAAAAAAAGTGAGCCAATTACTAATGCCCCTGTTGTGCCATTTGTCGCAACCGGTTCTGACTGTAACTAACTCTGATACCAAGGTACGGGTTCGAGTCCCGCCAGACTTCATGCGGGGTGAAAATGGGCGGCCCGAATAAAGGTCAAGCAGAATCGATCCCTGAGTCTGTGGCTTGATAATTCAAACCTAAACCTATTGAGCTAGCTCCGGCTTCAAAGAAAATAAAAGCATTTCTCACATAAGTACAGTTGTGAGGCCCAACCTAACTAGGGGACCGGGCCCCTTTCTAGCTCTATATAGAGTGCGCACGCTTGTTGGTTCGTGTGTTCGTCTGAGTGTATTGTCGGTCTGATCGTGTGTGTGTGACCCGCAAGGGTACTTGATTCATCGGTGGGCTTGAAGGACCGATACTCATCTGTGGCCGTGACATTGAGGGTCGCCGCAGGGAAAACACTCAAGTAGCGGGTATGCCGGTACCACACCATGTAAAGGTTGATGTGCCGAGTACTCGAACCCGAGCAGATGAAGACAACAATTGCCATTTTCAGAGGCGCAAAACCAGTTAGATAGGCGGGTACCAGTTCAAGTAGCCCGAGTCTAGGCCCTGTGCAGACGATATCAGAGGTTGCAATGGTGTTTCCCTCAAAGGGACGAAGACACCGGGTGCTTGGGTGATTGTGAGGACACGAAGTCGCCACTCGGGAGGCGACTTTCTTTCTACATACGGGGGGCGGAGCTGGAGTCTCCACCCTACTCAAGGCATTTGAGTAAGGACAGAGGTACCGACTGTCGTTTCCTATTACGGCAGGCAGTGTGTCTTTCTTGGGTGCCCCAACCGCGTGGTCGGGGTTATATTAATTTTTCAGTCGTCTTTAGATTTCATGGCGGCACGATGTGCCGACTTTCCCATACCGGCCAGTTTGACGCTCCGTCACTCGTTCTAATTCATTTTTGTCTTACCGTCTGATCCCTTAACGGTTTTGGATTGTGGTTGCCGCATCTCGTGCAACCTTTCTTGTTTTTCTTCCAACCCTCCGGCCCTTGCGGTCGGAGACTTTTAATTTTTATTAACCCCTTTCGGTCGTCGTATGTGTCGTATCACTGCGTATTGTCACCTACCAACCTCGGCCTCAATGGTCGAGAAGTTTGCTTCACGACGCCAAGCAAAAAATAAAAAAATAAAAAAAATTCTCACTTTTTACTCCAGTCTGTCTCCGGCACGGCGACCGACGTCGATACTGTATCGAATGTAAAATCATGAACAAATACCCTTGTAAGGGCCGTGCTCCCCCTGTTCAATATGGGTAGGATCTTTGGCTATCATGGGTGTGCATGTGTGTGGGTGTCGGTTGTGTGGTGTGTGGGAGGGTGTTGGGCATAGAC